ACGTATGATAGTGATGATTACAGTCTGCACATTGAAATTAACGATGAATACACGTATGATAGTGATGATTACAGTCTGCTCATTGATAATAACGATGATTACATGTATGATAGTGATGATTACTGTCTGCGCATTTATAATAACGATGATTACATGCATGGCAATGATGATTACAGTCTGTGCATTGATTAGAACGATGGTTACATGTATGATAGTGATGATTACATTCTGCTCATTGTTGATAGCGATGAATACACGTATAACATTGATAATTACAGTCTACGCATTGATAATAACGATGATTACATGTATGATAGTGATGTTTACAGTCTGCGCATTGATAATAACGATGATTACACGTATGATAGTGATGATTATAGTCTGCACATTGATAATAACGATGAATACACGTGTAATATAGATAATTACAGTCTGCGCATTGATTAGAAGGATGATTACACGTAAAATAGTGATGATTACAGTCCGCGCATTGATTAAAGCGATCATTACATGTATGATAGTGATGATTACAGCCTGCACATTGATAATAACGATGATTACACGTATAATAGTGATGATTACAGTCTACGCATTGATAATAACGATGATTACACGTATGATAGTGATAATTACAGTCTGCGCATTGATAATAACGATGATTACACGTATGATAGCGATGATTACAGTCTTCACATTGATAATAAAGATGATTACACGTATGATAGTGATAATTACAGTCTGCACATTGACAATAACGATGAATACACGTATAATATAGATAATTACAGTCTGCGCATTGATAATAACGATGATTACATGTATAATAGTGATGATTACTGTCTACGCATTGATAATAACGATTAATACAAGTATAATATTGATAATTACAGTCTGCGCATTGATAATATTGACGATTACTCGTATAATATTGATAATTACAGTCGGCTCATTGATAATAACGATGATTACATGTATGATAGTGATGACTACAAATATTTACATTGAAAAAAATGATTACATCATTGAGAATGMTAATAGTTAACGATGATAACAGCTATGACAGACGATGTTTACAGTGTGATAAYAACGATGATTTTGCCTGTGATAGTGATGATAACATCATTAGTATTGCTAGTAACGCTGAATACGCTTATGATTGCGATGTTAACTCCATTTGAAATGATAACAACGATGTTTAGTTCAATGATATYGATGATATTATCATTTACAGTGATATAAACGATGATTATGGCAATAAAAACGAAATAAAAACAGAATTATCAATTAATCAAAACACACCTGTGATAAATAGTATAAGAAAACATAATAGCAGTGACAGTGACTAAAACAGTATTCAAAATGATAATAAGATTGTTTTTATTCATATAATGATGTTTATTCTAAGATTTCTCGTTTTGTTGTTGTTTATTTCTTCAGAAAGTCACAAAACTGCAAAAATACATGTTTCAAAGTAAAA